ATTTTCAATTTGCTATAAAAATATAGCCTTCAGTACATTAAAAATATGACTTGTTTGGGGAACTAGAGATGATGGCACAGTTGAAAGCACTTGTTGATCTTTCAGAGGACCCCAATTTGGCTCCCAACACCCATGTCAGACAGTCACAACCAACTGTAACTCCAGTTCCAGGGAGTCAGATGCCCTCTTGTGGCCTCTATGAGCACCTAAAAAAGGGGGAGGCACGTGATACACATACACAGACAAAAACATGCAACACATTAACAAATCCTTTTAAAACATATGGCTTGATTTCTTTTCAAACTACTTGGATGATATGGTTTGTGTTAGAAATTGACTTTGTACATTTTTTAGAAAACACTGAATTAATTTCAGCAGACAATGTAATCAAGACTTGGATTTTCAGATGTTACTCTGGTTAAAAAACAGGTTTTAGCAGGGCAGTAGTGGCATACACCTTTAATTCCAACACTTGGGAGGAAGACATAGATGGATCTCTGTGATTTCAAGGCTAGCCTGCTCTACAGAATGAGTTCCAGGACAGTCAGGACAACTCAGAGAAACCCTGTCTCAAAAAACCAAAAAAAAAAAAAGAAAGAAAGAAAGAAAAAGAGAGAAGGAGGAGGAGGAGGAGGTGGTGGTTTTAGGATTTACCAGTTTCTCTTTTTGATCCAAATATATAACCTGCTTTCATAAACAAGTTATGGTAAAGAGAAAAAAAAGAGTAAGAACACACCCATGGCATGGTATAGATCATTATTAAGAAAAAAGAAATAGAATAGGCTTTTCAAAGAACATGTTGTCCCTTAACATAAATACCAATTAATTAGTAAACAGGTATAGTAATAAAAGTAATTTACATGAGAAGTTAAAAAGGGATCGCCAAAGTAACTGCGTTCTCTCAAGGACATTTTATTCCTAACTTAATGGCCTTGAATTCAACATCGCCTGCTTCAGCCTCCCTCGGGGACTGAAATCACTGTGTGTCACTATTTGCCACCCTAGAGCCAAGGGGAAGAAGTCTTCTGGTGTCACTTCTGCAGTGCTAGGGATACAACTCAGGGCTTTCCAGATGCTGGGCAGGCATCCTACCTCTGAGCTACATTTCCAGCCCTTAGCTTTAGAGACACGGTCTTGTTTTGGAGTCCACATGGCCTTTGAAGTTACTAGGTGGCCTAGGCTGGACTCACACTCATGATCCTTCTGCTTCAGGCTTCTGAATGCTGGAATGAAGGGGTGGGCCACCAGAGCTAGCCTGAGCAATCATTTTAAAACCTCGATCATTTTAAATTTCTTAGCTGGATGTGGAGATACACCCTTATTATCACTATTGTTGTGGGCTTGCAAACGCAGGAGAATATGAGGAATGGAAGAAGACAGCTACATCTTCCATGCAATATATGTTTATTTTACTTGGTGCTAAATCAAATAATCAAGCTTTGTACAGTGTTTTAAGACACTGGCCCATTTTATTCTACACATGTGAAATACAAATGCCAGCAAACACTTCTTAGGTTCTTAATATTAGGAGTGGGAATTTTCTTTTGATTTTGTAAAAATTCATTGTTGATCTTTCAAAATGGACTAAGCCTTTTAAAAGGATTACAGTGGACATTTTGTTCCTTGTAAAAGTTTCTACAATGCCTTATTTGAATGTTGTTATCTACTTTCTAAAAATGTTGTCAACTGCCAAAACTTATGAATTATTGCTTAGGTTAGCAGGCAGGCATGAGTCTCTGTTAAAACGATCAAGTGTCAACAGTGTCTCTGTTTCCTTTGTCTCTGGCCCTTATAAGCCTACTCCACCAACCTTTCTACTACAGTGATAACTCGTTGACTTTACTCTAATAAACTGTCTTTAAACAGTTTTTTAAATAAAACATATGGATGTGGAAACACAAATTTTAAACCAGATAATATTTCTTTCAATTCCAAGATTGTTTCTAAAAATACTATGAAATCAGCACTTGTATTTTAATAATGATACTCTTTATACGTAGTTGAATGTTGGCTCCGAAAGTATGCCCATGTCCTACTACCCAGCCTCTGAAAAATGCTGCCTTATTTGGATGACAGGCTCTTGCAGTTGTAATTTAAAGATCTGAGACGAGATCATCCAGGTTGGCCTTAAAGCCAAAGACAAGCATCCTTATGAAAGAGAGATGGAGACAAGGGCAGAGGAAAGGCCATGTGGAGTTGGAAACTAAGAAGATAGTTATGCTACCACAAGCCAAGGAATGTTAGGAGTCACCAGCAGCTGGCCAAGGTAAGGGAGGATTCTCTGCTAGAGCCATCAGAAGTGTGGCCCTGATGACCCCTGGATTTCAGATGGCTGGCCTTCGGAGTATGCATACAGACTGCTGTGGTTTAAACCATGAGATTTGTGACAATTTGCTATCCCTTAGAAATCTATTCTGTTTTTCGTTTGTGCATATTAATTAGTCATACTAGAAATATCATTGTGAGGGGCTAGAGAGTGCAGCTGGAATTTTCTTGGGGCTGCCAACCAGTTCCCAAATAAAGACATGGAGACTTACTATTAATTATGACTTTTTGGCTTAGCTTAGGCTTGTCCCTCTTGCTCTTTTGACTTTAAATTAAGTTTCTATTCATCTATGTTTTGCCTTGGGGCTTTTTATCTTTCTTTCATTCTGTTGTATGTCCTACTTTTCCTTCTTACTCCAGGTCTAGCGGGCTGGACCCTGGCATCTCCTTTTCTTTCTCCCTTGGGCCTAAATTCCTCCTCCTCCAACTTACTCTCCCTGCCCAGAAGTCCTGCCTATGCCTCCTCCCTCACTATTGGCCATTCAGGTTTTTATTAGACCAACCAGGAGTCTTAGGCAGACAAGTTAAACAACAATACATCTTTATATAATTAAACAAATGTAACACATTCCTACATAGTTAAACAAACGTGACACATCATTCACATCTTTCCATAGTTAAACAAATATTACACAAGAGAGCGCTCAGTAGTTGCAGAAAGCCCAAGTTCAGTTCCCAGCATCCACATTGGTCAGCTTACACCACCTGTAACCCCAGCTCAGGAAATCAGACTCCCTCTTCCGGCCTCCACAAGTACCCACAGACAAGTGCACAAGTGCATAAATACACAGACACATGCACACATACATGTAATTTAAAAATAATTTTTTAAAAAATAATACCATCATGGGATGTTCAGATGTGCACATATCTTGATCATACCGAGTCTTTGTAATACCCTCCATACCCCTTTCTTCTCTCCCTCCTTGATTGACATTCTCTTCTCTGAGTCTCTCTCCTCAATACATCTTTATTGTCAGAGTAGGATAATTTCTTTGTTACTCTCAAAGACTCTCATTTTGTACTGAACTCTGACTTAGAAGTAGACCTTCTGAATAGCAACTTCTGCGGCCATTCATGTCTCCTCCCAGTTCAATGAGTTTCTCACAGCTGGTGTCTGAGAAGGTATTTGGGGTCATCTTGAGGTAGTTAGCACCTAGCTGGTAATGCACGCAAGCATGCATACATACACACACACACACACACACACACACACTCACACACACGTGCGTGGACACGCACATACATACACACACACACACACACACACACAAGGGTGTGGTACATTGTCTTTAGTTTTTTGTTGTTTTTTTTTTAACATTTAGTTATTTTGCTGGGGACAGAGCACATGCATGCCACAGCTCTCTCTGAGGACAGTGACTAGTAATCAGTTCTCTCCTTCCTTCCTGTGCGTGGCTCCAGGGATCAAACCCAGGTGATCAGGCTTGGTGGTAAGGGTCTTTGCCCAGAACTACTTCACTGGCCTCACAACTGTTAGTCGGTCATGCTTAAGGGTTTTCAAAAAAGACAGCTTTCCAAAAGTGCCATATAGTAATATCATGTAAATGGAGTTGGGCAAGGTAACTTACTCCGATCAGTTTCTTCTTTCAAGTTTTCTACTAGCCCCAGGCTCACAGAATGCCAAGATAATTAAATGAAACTAAACTTCCTCACAGACATTTGGCAGATTTAGTGTTCAAAGATGTATCCTTTTACAACACACACTGCCCTCACCTGGGTGAGGAAAAGCCTCCACGGAACACACTAGGGGACGTTTAACAGGCAAAGCCTGGACCCGGAGCTCGCTCTTTTGCATATAACCACTCAGACCCATCTGCAGTCAGCTCTTCTTTCTCACCAACTAACCACCAACCTCTCCCCCAACCTTTTCTACTTCCTGTTTACGTAGATTGCTGCTTCCTGACCGAGGGAGCTAAAGAGTTTCTGCCAGGCTGGCTTTCTCCTGGACCCAAACTAAATGCCTCCTTGACTGACTTTTTTCTGGTTCTTGTAGCAAAGCCGTAACAAGAATGAGGAGCAAGCTGCTTTCTGAGCCGCACCCAGCTGAGTATCTGGGCCTCTTTCTGGCTACTGAACTGAATCAGATGGACCTTAGTCTTCCTGTTTCTGTTCTAACAAAGGCAGAAAGCTGTCCCTTCTTGTCCCAGCCCCTTCAAGGTCTTAGTACTAAGCTCAGTCCTCACTTGGCACTAGAGTTACAGCCACATGTGGCCATGGCCAGCTTTTCCCATGGGTGCTGTAGATATGAATTCAAATCCTCATGCTTGAACAGCAAATGCTCTTGGCCACTCCCTTCTCCCCAGCACGATGATGGTTGTTTTAAGAGTCCTCCTTTGAGCACCAACCGAAGGGTGAACTGGGGCTGCAGGAGCAAAAGTGATCAGCCACATCAGGAATGAAAAGGGGTGCCTGTCACTGTTAGGAAAAATCTTAAGGGCCTCACCACCACCGCAAAATAACTACAATTAGACCAGATTAGACCAAATCAATAACACTCCTGTTTAATAAATGCTGTGCTCTCAGGGGGACTGAGAGCATGGGGGAACAGAGAGGGAGAGCGCATGCAAAACCACAGGCCCCGCGCCCCCCCCCCCCCCCGTGAGCCTAAATAGCTTGTGGGAGTGGTCCTGACCCTCCCTGGGGAGGGGTCAGCGCTTGGCAGGCTGGGAGTTAGAATCTGGACCAAGACAACTCCCAGGCCAGGGGCTGGGGTGACACTTCCAATCATCCCAAACTTCTTGGATATAGGGGTGTCAGAGGTCTGGGATCTGGAGTCTTAATTTTGATCAAACATCCCAGAGTCCTTGGATCTAGTGGTGTTGGCTCCAGTTTGGCTACTTCCTGCAGGCATGGGGCAAAGTGGGAGCGGGGAGAGCTGGGAGTTGGGCTCATGCTCAGTGAGAGGAGTGGCTGGAGCAGCATCCAGTTTGCTGCCATCCTGGAGTCTTTAGGCAGCTGCTTTTTGAGGGAGATGAGAAGGCAGGTGGTTAGGAGGAAAAAATTGTTATTATTGGCCCTATAAAATGGGACTGGCCATGGGGTGGGACACAATAGCAGATAAAACCAGATTTTAGTTGTCAGGTGTCCTTGATCCAGGAGAGTTGGTACCAATGATGAAGTCCCAGGAGCTGCTGCAGGTGTTTGGTGTTGTCTGGAGAGCACTTTGTGAGTTGATCTTGGCCCAGGCAGCAAGAGTGACCTGTTAAATATGCTTGAAACTGGATGATGTTAGCAAAAGGCTCTAGAGACTGTGAGTTTTTAATACACCTGAAACCTGTTAATCTTGAACTATGAAGCCTGTTAAAGAGGCAAACCTGTCTGTATTTTAGCAGGAAACTTCACAAATAAAGTAATGAGCTACCAGTACCTTCAAATGTCATTAGCCAGATCTGGGAGGGATAAATGAGCAAAAAATGAGACAGCTTTTTAGCTACACAGGCAATCCCAAATCCTCTCCCTAGTCCTTAGAGAACACCAGCCTAGAAGTAGTGTTTGCCATTAGCTACAGAGTACAGGAGGCCCAAAGATTTTTCCTGTTGGGGGAAGATTTAGTCTACCTGTCTTGGCAGGAGGAAGAGATCGATTCCCGGGGTGAAGCATCCAGGAAGATGAAGCAGTGGAAGGCCACTTTTTGCTGTGTGGGTGGCTCTGCCAAACCCAAAGGCAAGCTGGAGGTAGAAGGAACCATGAGTCTTCTTGGAGGAGCTAATGGGTGCTGCAAAAGCTGGCATGTCTGTGTTAGAGGCTCTTTTTGTTAAATGCCATACCCTCAGATCTGTAAAGGCACCTGAGAGTCAGGGTACCATCACCTGTTATTTTAAACTGGGCATATAAGCTAAATTTAGTGTATTTTATCCAATTAGTTACAGATTATCAATGCTAGCAGATGCAAGAAGATTAAAAGGAATATTTTAATAAGTCAAAGAATATTAGCATATGTAGGTACCCTTACCAAAGATGGCAGACTAGCACATGTGGGTACCCTTATCAAATACGGCAAACTAGCACACAGGGGTACCCTTACCAAAGATGGCGGACTGTGCACACGGAAATATAAATTAAGCACATCGTGGAAACACATTTACACACTCATACATATATACAAACTGTGGCCATATTATTCTAACAGACAGACAAATAGGTCAATTTTAGAAACCTGTGTCAGCTGACCAACTTAAAAAAAAAATCCTGGTTTAGTTTAGCAAATGCCAGGAGAGTGGAAGGACGTGGGGAGACAGATTTTTTTAAAACTGCAGAGTGAGACAAACAGCAAATAGCGGTGGGGGGTGGGGACACGGGACACGGGGACGGGGGGGGGGGGGGACACACACGACACGACAGGCAGGAGCACTCATATGGAGAAGAGAGGAGAGACAAGGAAGGGGGGCAGAAGCGAGCATCTAGGAACCGCAGGTTACGGAGCCCTGTTTGCCTCATGTTAGCCCCAATTTTAAAAGGATTTAAAAAAAAAATGTTGCCCAAGGGCATTTTAGGTATTGGTTTGGAAGTGCAAAACACCCATTTTAAAAGTCTATGCCCAATTGTGTCGCTCAGTCTATCACAGCGTCCACTGGGACAACCCTTCAGCCGAAAAGGGATTGTGAAAACTGGCAAGCGTTTCTGGCCACGCAGTCTTCACCTCAACAAGAAAGCTGCATGGGTCAGGCTTCCTACCCAGACTGCCACTTCAGCAGAAAGCCCAAAAGCGAATGGGTCACCCCAGGAACCCTTCCAGCCGTGCACTTTAAAAGGGGAACTCACCTGAAGCCTATCTGGCCTGACAGAGAGCATGCACCGGGAAGGGTATTTTCCAGCACGCGGGTCCTGTGCCTGTGAGGGGGAAAAAACAGGCCTTTTCTGTGGGAAACCTCCAACTGTTAGGAAAAATCTTAAGGAGAGCCTCTCTGCTGATGCAAAATAACTTCAATTAAACCAGATTAGACCAAATCAAAAACGCCTAAGTTTAATAAATACAGTGCTCTCCCTGGTGGCCAGAAGAGCATAGTGGGGGGGGGCATGCAAATACCAGACCACGTGTTCCTTCTCTGGGTAGCCGCCTAAATACCCTGTGAGAGTGGTCCTGACCCTCCCCAGGGAGGGGTCAGCACTTGGCTGGCTGGGAGTTGGAGTCTGGACCAAGGCAACTCCCAAGTCAGGGCCTGGGGTGACACTTCCAATCAGTCATCTTGGCTATGGAGAGGCTGAGGCAGGATTCTTGAGACAGGATTCTTGAGTTTGAACTCAAGAATCTGAGGCTAGACTAAGAAATCCAGCAGAAAAAAAAAAATAACATCTTGAATTTTGCAGGAAAATGGATGGAGCTAGAAAACATTATTTTGAGTGAGGTAACCCAGACACAGAAAGAAATTGTCACATGTACGCACTCATGGGTGGTTTTTAAACATAAAGCAAAGAAAACCAGCCTACAAACCACAATCCCAGAGAACTTAGACAACAATGCGGACACTAAGAGAGACTTACATAGATCTAATCTACATGAGAAGTAGAAAAAGACAAGATTTCCTGAGTAAATTGGGAGCATGGCGACCTTGGGGGAGGGTTGGAGGGAAGTGGAGAGGCAGGGAGGGGAACAGAGAAAAATGTAGAGCTCAAGAAAAATTTAAAAAAAAGAAAAAGAAAAAGAAAGAAAGAAAGAAAGAAAGAGGGAGATTGTGAGTTCAAGGCCAGCCGGGGCCATAAATCAAAATCTAGAGAGATGACTCAGTGGTTAAGAACACCGGATGCTCTTCCAGAAGACCCAGGTTCAATTCTCAGCACCTACAGGGCAGTTCACAGTCATCGGAGACTCCAGTTTCAGAGGATCTGACTCCCTCTTCTGGCCTCCATGAGCTCCAGGCACACACATGGTGCACAGACAGACATGCAGGCAAAACACCCATGTGCATAAAAATTATTTATTTGTTTTTTATTTATTTATTTATTTATTTAAAAAGATATGGTCTCAAAAAGATGAAGACTCATTTGATTCAAACAAACTAAAACTCTGGAGTCTTTGGAAGTCCAAGTAGATAGACACTATAAAATGTAATTCTTCTTTGAACAAATAAAAAGCATTTCAAATGCAAATAAAATAAAATAAAATAAAAATAAAATAAAATAAAAATAAAACAAAATAACAGAAAAAACAGATATGACTTTAATTTTTTCTACTCTTTGTTGGCATAGTGATTCACTCTGGCACTGCAAACTATTAGATGCCGACTTAAAATTTTTGTTTCTTTTTCTTTTTTCTTTTAAGACAGGGTTTCTCTGTAGCTTTGGGGCCTGTCCTGGAACTAGCTCTTGCAGACCAGGCTGGCCTTGAACTCACAGAGTGCTGCCTGCCTCTGCCTTCCGAGTGCTGAGATTAAAGGTATGTCTATACCTTTATATTAAAGGCCACCACCGTGTGGCCAATTTAAAATTTTTCAAAGTCGTTATCACCGTTACAGATTCAAATGTGGAACTTCGTTTCCCACAGTAAGGCAGATACTGAGAAGATAGCCTAACTCCATAGGATCTTTGGAAGCAATGATTCTCAAGAGCACTGTGTGCCTTCTCATACCGCATCACCATCATGGTAAGGGTTTCTGTTTCTGTGCCGGCTTCCACTGTGTAGTGTCCAATCAGCCTGGTTTCCATCAGAACGCTGACTTCCTTCCTGATGACACTCTGCCTCTGATACAGAGGACTGTTGGGAGGACCTCCTTTCTTCCGTGTAATCCCTGCATTACTCGCTCGCTGAAGGAGATGCGCTGCACAGTCTCTCGTTCCACAGACCATTGTCCTTCCAAAACCCCTCGTGAGCATCCAGTGTAAAGGGAGACTTTGAAAGAACTGATTGAGAAAAACTAGGACAAAATGCTCCAAATCCTGGGGTTGATGGTCAGATTCCGGTCTAATAATCTAAGGTCACAATTACAGCACTGCTTTAACATGGTAGGTTTTAACCAAAGGAAATGAATGAATACAGTCTCTTTGCTTTTATACATAATTGCTTATAAGAATAGTCCCATGGTGAGGTTTTCTTTTGATATGCATAATTGTAGTTAGACAAATAAAATATACCACATAACCTATTTTTTATATTTATATGGAAAAATTATCCAGAGAGAAGATAGCTCAGGGTTTTGTAAAAATATGATGTGTGATTTTGAAAACTGAAACTCTAGTGTGGAAATCAGAAGTGGTACAAAGTTGAATTCTTATTTGTTGCATCTTGAAGTCAGATTCTACTATCTTTTACATTAAATGATAATATTAATAAAAGTCTATGTATACAATTCGGTGTCATAAAGTATGTGACAAGGGAATGCACTGCCAATCACATTTGGCACATATAGTAATAAAAACTTTATTATTGAAAGGAACTGCTGTTATCTCTCTTGCTAAAATTACATTTTTCAGGCTGTTGCAAGTCATATCTTATATGTGTTTATATCTTCACAGATTTTAGACTGTTAGTTTATAGAAAAATTCAATAAGTATGTATTGGATTAGTTGATGTTTAAAACTGATGGAAGGAATGATCAATTGCTGATAAATATCTTTTGTATTAAGTCAAAAAAAAAGCTAACTTAGTAGAACTTTATCCCACTTTTTAATACACCATCTACACTAATATGTTACCTTGTTTCCCAAGGTTTAACATTTGTAACAGAATTGCTGGTCCTGAAGGTAAGAGAGCCTTAGCTCAATCCAATCAGATTGCTTATTGCCAAAACCTTTACTGCGATGTGCCAAGTGCCTACAGGTGTCTCCATGAGTCCCTGAGACTTACCAGCTGGCCAGGTCTGAACATCCTGCTTCAGTCCATTCTCCTTGCCTTGTCAGGTACTCAGATGAAAGAAAAAAAGCTTTGCCTTGGACAAACTTATTGTCAGATGTTGGGTTCAGCCTCTCAATAGATGGTTTTAGATAAGCTGCTTTCTTGCATTGCCATGGGAACTGGGTGAGTTTAGGAATATAAAATTGGTGACACAGAGCAAGTTCTCATTGTAGGTTCCCTCTTCTTGCCCCTTAGTGTAAAATGGCACCTCATACATCTTTAGGGAATGTTTAGTATCTTTTCCCTATCACCCTCACTGCTCAGGGGTGTGTGTGTGTGTGCGCGCGCGCCTTTATGTGCAAGTCAGAAAGTAAAGGTCACTTCCAGGTAGTTTTAGGAACTAGTAGCTAATGATTGCTATTGTTCATGTTGACTGTCCCCAAGCATTAACTGAGTTACTAAAAATGTTATCAGTGAAGTTACTATCAGTGCTATCATTTGTGGGATGATGGACAGCGTGATGGTTCAAATGAGAATGCCTCCCCCACCCCCGTGGGCTCAGAAGCCTCCCCCGCACCCGTGGGCTCAGAAGCCTCTCCCCCTCTCCCCACCCCCACCCTCCATGGGCTCAGAAACCTCTCCCACCCACCCACCCCTGTGGACTCAGATGTCTTCCCCTACCCCCCCCCCATAGGCTCAGAAGCCTTCCCCTACCCTCCCCATGGTCTCAGACGCCCCTACCCCGGTGGGCTCAGATATACCTCCCCCACCACCGTGGGCCCAGATGTTTGAATACTTGGTTCCCAGTTGGTGGTGCTGTTTGGGAAAGTTTAGGAGGTGTGACCTCACAAGCAGAGGCTTGCTGTTCCTGCCACTGTATCTACCATCTGGTACCACACTTCATACCATGATGGATTCTTATCCGTATGAAACTGAAAGCCTAGATAAACTCCTTCCTCTATCAATTTTCTTGGTCATAGGGTCTTTAAAGACAAATGGGACTTATTAAAGCTGTCTATCACAATAAAGAATATAAGTATTGTTGAAAAAATAAAAAACAATGTCTTCTCTCTATTCACCTGTTCTGCAGTGGATCCAAAGTACCTTCATGTTCAGTGTAATGAATGCACTATATCATTTATTTAAAAAGTCAAGCCAAATAGAGACCATTCCTCCAGATCTGGGACTTACAGAAGCCACCACAGAGGGATGGCACAGGCCTGATATCGGAGGCATTTATCAGCTTCAGTCTTACAACTAGAACCAGAGAACAAGGAATACAGATAATGGTTTCAGAAGGCAGATTGGTTCCTCCCAAAGACATCTACACCGTAGTCCCTAGAATCTAAGAATATATCGTGTTATATACCAGGGTGATTTACAGAATTATGGAAAGGCTTGTGAGTGGAGTTAAAGCAACTAGTCAGCTGTTTTAAAATTAAGGGCACTATCCTAGATTATGTGAACACGTTCGGTATAATCATAGCATCCTTAAATGTGGAAGAGAGAGATGGAAGATTCAGAATGTCTTAGTTCATTAATG